CTCTTTTCTTCAGAAAAGAAAACAGCAAGGATTTTGCTTACATATTTGTTTAGAAGATTTGTGTATCACAAATCATCCATGGACATGGTACCAACACTATGTACAAGACTATTCTTGTACCAGTAACTTCGCCGAATCGATTGGTGTCACAAATTCCCAAAATATTAAAAAATACTACAGTAATAAGGGTTTTGTCTTTCAGAATACGCAATTTAATTGAAAATTTGTCAAGAATTAATTCAGAAAGCAGGGTTCCAACAGCAACTACGAAACAAGAATTATGTTGATAAGGCAGTGCTCTGTTAGTCGCAAGCCACTTTGTATACATTGAATAACAATAACAATAACAAGGTTTACCAAATTATTACCACCAAGCTAGGTTAATCAAATTATTGCCATCGCACATGTAGTTGGCTGACTAGGAACAAAATAACAGCTAGTATAATTTTCAATCAAAATAGATGAACAAAATAATAAAATAGAGGAATGCGAATGAAACGGCAAGAGAGAAGTTTAGAACCTCCTTGGCAAATCGAAGCTGTCCTTTAGAGTTCCTCAGTACTTAGACTAAATTAGCATTTATCAAAGAATACAGAGCATAAGTGGTGGAAATAATGAAGAAACCCTAACAAATAGAGAAAAATACAACATATATAGGAATTACCTGTGAATCAAATGCTGTGGATGTATCTGAGAGAGAGAGACCGTGAGAGACAGAGAGAATCGCTGATGTCCAATCGTGTGTGAGAGAGATAGAGAGAGAGAGAACTTAGCGAGAGAGAGAGGAAGAAAGAGAGACAACTGAGGGAGAGAAATAGAGAGACGACCGAGCGAAGAGAGAGGGAGAGAGGGATGACTGAGAGCGAGGGAGAGCGAGAGAGAGCGCAAGAGGAACGATTCAGACTAAGAGAGAGAGAGAAAAGGAGAGAGACGACTGAGTGAGAGACAGGGATGATTCAGACCGAGAGAGAGAGAGGGGCCGGAGAGGCGTGAATAATTTCAGCGGGAGAGGCGTCAATTGTAGCGGCAGTCGTTTGGCATCTAGCGGCAGTTTTAATCGACCGCCGCTAGAACTCTATTTTAGATTCCAACTTTTAGACTTGGTGGAATCTAAAACTATGACTTGAGACCGATACACTTCCTCATCGACAAACTGATGCTCGAAGGGGAGGTAGTGGATTTTGTTTCAGATTTCAAAAAAAAAAAGGGTCCCAGATATGTCACAATCCCAGTAGGTGATCCAAAAGGCGAATTTGGCAACAAAAGTCAATCACAATGATGATTTATAAATCACAACTTCGTACACGTTCCGTTATAGTACTCATTCTTTCTCTACGTTCTCACCCCAAAGACAACTACGTTTAGACAGAGCAAAAAACCTACGTTTAGACAAATCGTTTGGGTAGGCTGGAGTATTGGAAGCTTGAACAAAAGCAAATAGCACCTACCAAATACCAAAAGAAGCATCTTGCTTGAGAGCCATCTACGTAATTATTAACCTGAAATATCTCTCCATAAAAAAATAACATACAAATACGAACGGTATGAGTACGGTCTTATGAGCACTGAAGCCACTCTCCTGAAAACCAAGTCTGCGATAAAACTTGAAAGAATCAAATTATCCCACTTTATCGTTACTGGCCTTTTGTTCCTTATGTCCTCTAGTATCGTTGCTGACCGTTCGTGAACCAGACTGCATACCAAAATATTAAACAATGTTCTTTGTATCTAACAGGAATATCACATAAGAGAATTGAACACTCAGATAGCATGATTCCTTTTCGAAGTATCTACCCTAAATTACATGATTTGTTTCTTCTAACAAAGTCCATTGGGAAATGATAACAATTAGTGGTGTTTAAAGAAATATAATACAAAGGATGTACATAATTCTAGCTTTTGCACATTATATTTAATCACGGAGTCATTGTACTTGATTATGCTGTTGATCTCTATATAATTAACTTGTAGAAAAAAAAAATAAGGAATTTATTAAGAAACTGGTGAAATGGGTACACAAGGGAACAATCCACAAAGCACAAAACTCACTTTGAACTTTCTCCTACAGCTACAGCTTTGATCTATCCTCATCTGTACAATCCTCTTACAACTTCAATACACAAAACATGGGGAAGAAGGTATAACTAAAAAAATGAAAGGTACAAATCGCTTATGAGAATAGACCAGGCATGGCTTATGCTCCGACTGGTTTGCATGAGCTCTAGATCTTAGCTCGCCTTTTCCTTTTCTCAATGTGCAGCCTAGTGGTCAAGCCAGCTCTGTTTTCCTCTCGAATCAGGCAGACCATGGGGTCAATTTTAGAGTTGACTTTGGAGAGTGACAATAATGGAATGATAAATCTCTTGATCAGCCTGGGAGTTTACTTTTCAAGGCTTGTGCAATGGACGTGAAGAAAACCCATGCAGAAGTCTGACAAACCCCGTGAAACTGAGCTTTCCATCGGCATGTCTTATCCAGTCTTGGAGAACAACATGCACAGGGACTGATGGGCTAAGGCCAAGTTCCTGATAAAAAAAAAATAAAGAAAATATGGTTTAAGGAAATGTAAACATAGTGATGAAAAAGGAATTCACAGAACTAACATGCCCCCACCCTCCTACACCCGTGGCAACAGGAAAAACATTTCTTCCATTGAACTATTTATATATGCAAGCTTCAGAAAATTATATACATTTGCATTTGCAAACTGTGTATCAGTATCATATTATGGAAAGCATTTAATTTCCTTTAACTAATGACCAAATCAAGGAAATACAACAACTTATCTTCATAACCTTCAGCTTGTATACTTTCTAATTTCTTTATCTTATTTACTAGTACTAAATCCTACCACATTTTCAAAATATCTCATGGTGAAATAGTGTTTCTCACTGTATCTCTGAACAAGCAATTTAGCTTCTTCTCCTGAGGCCATCTACAATTGTCTTCTCCTGAGGAAATTTAGGCTAAGATTTTTATACTTGTCTCTGAATAGGCAATTTAGTGTCTTCTGAGGTAATTTAGGTTTCTATACTTTACTAGCCTCTCTTGAAGATGCTGTTACAAGTATATTCGATGTAAGACCACCCAAGAAGTGCCTACTTGATGGCTTTTTCTAAGCTGCAGGTAATGGTAGTGGATATTATGCCCATAACTGAGTTGGTCAAACGAGGCAGTAAGGATCATTAATTTTGCTGTTACTTGAACAAAAAATAGCTCAGAACAATGCCATTTCATTATCTCCAATCTTTAGAAGGAACATAACAACCAAACTACATGTGAGCTCTACATCTTCAATAAAGATTCAAACATCAAAAGACATGGCTCTCCACAGACCACTAAGGCTCTGATGTTTGTGTAGTATACCAAACTTTCTCTCTCCAAGCATAAGGGTTGATTCATGATAGTTCAGGTTGCTTAGAATTTGGATTGAGATACACTTAAGTAAATAAGCAAGCAAATAAATAAAGAATCCAGGCTGAGGCTAGTTCAGGTTGGTCACATTCAGGCTGAGACATTAAACAGTTTTAGAAGACCATGAGTAGGGGTGGCAACGAGCCGAGCTTTTCATGAGCTGCTCGAGCTCGGCTCGGCTCGATTTCAACCGAGCTTCGAGCTAAGCTCGAGCCCAATTTACACGCTCAATTAATAAACGAGCCGAGCTCGAGCCTAATAGAGCTCGGCTCGTGAGGCTCGCAAGCCAAGCTCGATATATATATATAAAATCATAGAAAATAATATATATAATAAAAATATTATAATTCTTAACTTTTAAATATCAAATAAAAAATATTTTTTATATATAATTTTTTATTTTTATAAAATATTTTTCCTCAAATCGAGCTCGAGCTCAGTGTTCTAGCTTGAATCGAGCTCGAGCCTCATACTATTCGGCTCGGCTCGGCTCAAATCCACCCCTAACTACAAGGCAAGGTGGTGAGGTGTATGCCTCAAGGTGAAGCAGAGGCAAACCACCATGCCTCAACTGCATTGATGAGGTGTGAACCATTTGATGAAGCAAATACCTCATCTAGACAGCATCAAATATAACGGGAAAGAACTAAAAGTATATTAATATGTGATAGTTTCCAAATTCAAGAAAACTTGGTAATTTAATTGGTTATAAATAAAACAAAATAATTTATGCTCAAAAATCTTTCATAATATCTCTCTAAACCCAAAAATATCTCTTTGCTTCTAACTTACCAAATATAATAATCGTAACATACTACTTTGTCTTAAAAGTACCACATGTGAGAATTATTGCTTTAAAACGTAAGGTGCAAAAAAAAGCACAAAGGGCTTTTTTGCCCATCTAGACAGCATCAAATATAATGTGAAAAAACTAAAAGTATATTAATATGTGATAGTTTCCAAATTCAAGAAAACTTGGTAATTTAGTTTGTTATAAATAAAACTAAAATAATTTATGCTCAAAAATCTCTCATAATGTCTCTCTAAACCCAAAAATATCTCTTTGCTTCTAACTTATCAAATATAGTAATCATAACATACTGCTTTGTCTTAAAAAGTACATGTGAGAATCAGTGCTTTAGTTAAGATGCAAAAAAAAAAAAGCACAAATGGCTTTTTGCACCCAAGTTGCAAGGTGCAAGGCGAAGTGGCATTATAACAGGTAAGTAAGGTGTGTAGTTGTATTAGAGATTTCTGGTGATGTGAATAATCCTATATAGGGATGATATTGGAGAGCAAGGGGAGGAAAGTCGGGAGACTGAAAATAAATTTTACAATGGTAGGCAATTAAAGAGTTTAAATTGCCAACAAAAATTAAGGAGTGTAATTATCTTGCAAGGTTCTGGGTGATCAGTGATCTGAATAATTCTATGTAAGAAAGTTACAATAGCAATGAAAAGAAAACCAAAGTAGAATTTTATTTAATTGATTCCAATAAATGGTTTTTAATAGTTTTCTGTTATGGTGTAAATGAAAATACTTTTTAATGAGAAATTTGTTTTTTATCACATTAAAAAGCTTTCTAGAAGAAAATTTCTTTGGAACCTTCAGTACACTAACACTATCCAGGTTTCATTAGAGCTGTTCTTGACAACTTCCCAAATTGTGGGTTATTAAATCAGTTCAATGGTCCAGGTGATGATCCAAAAATCCCATCAAGTCTAGATTCCATGACATCAGTTGGAAGCTTGCTTGTGCATGCATTTTTTTGATCAACTTCTTGTGCATGCATGTATCTAAATATGCACATATGTGGAGAGAGAGAGAGAGAGCAATAATACCGAGGCAAGTTCTTCAATCATGATTGACCTGTTGCCATCTTTCTCAAAGTTCTCATAAGCAGAATGTGCATGTTCCTCCCAATTCTCCAGTCCCTCCATCTGATACACGCTTAATGCAGCAGCACAGAATTCTTCAAAATTTAACTTTCTATATTGAAGCGAGCTCACCTATAAAATATATGAGAAATTGTAAACTTCCAAACTCTTTTCCTAAGCTTTATTTATTACACATTAGCTTGGTCAGGTGGTCTCCTGCCAACTATCAAGCAATAAATATATAGCCAAGGACCTGGAATACTTACCACATTAACATAATCAACCACCCGGGAATCCTTCATGGCACCAGTAGAATTCCTCAGCAAGGCCTGCCAATTCCAGCATCACTTAGAATTTTTTTCTTTTTTTGATAGGATAAAAATGAAAGTTTCATGAAAATAAAATCACTAAGAATTACATAAGTAGAAAAATGGATAAGCCAGGTAAGGACCGGAAATAGTACTTACCGTCTTAAGATTTTGCAGAGATATAACCCCACTCTTATTTGGGCCTAACAACGTGAACTGGTCCTGGAAATAAGCTAGATGAACTACTGTCAATGTCTTTGCAAGAGCCTGTGACAGTAACAGTCATCACTCAGTATGTTTATTTATTTCAAGATTTACAGAAGAAACTAAGGTTGTATTTGGATAGGGTCCAGGATTTGTGCTTTTAAAGCCCAAATTCCAGGTTCTGTGCTTTGGGACTTGGAAGTTTTTGGCTTCAGATTGTTATGTTCTTAAAAAAACTCTTATCAAAACTCAAAACAATAGAGCCTAGGTTTGCAAATGTATATATCTGTGAATGCTTCCCTTCTCATCATGTTAATTTATTCCAGATGTTATAAATGAAACAAATTTGTTACTACTGTTTAATGATTTTTCTTGCCAAAATATCTTTTTTTTGAAAAATAAAGAAAAACTCATTAAAAAGAAAAAGGAATACAAAAGAAAGGTGATAAGATTTCACCTGAGAGAGAGACATAACCAAACACCCCTACAGACTACAGTGATAAAACCAAACCCAGATTAAACCCACAGACACAACAAACCAAAGCCAAACTCTACCAAAGAACAACAATCATCCCCAGGAAAGACAAGGAAACCCCTTGAGCCGAGACCGCCAATCGCCAGACCCTTGAACCAACTATGCATCAACTTAGCACAAAAAACAAAGCCTTACTCTTCGACTATGAGATTGCCTTCTTGCCCAGTATCCTCCTCGTCCCATACCTTGCCTCCTCTTCCAAACAAACTTTTTTATTCAGCTTCTCAAAAAAATAAGCCCAGGCTTTTTCCAATTGTGACCTCTCTATCCATTAATTCCTGAAGAGTCCCACAGCCTGAATCAACGTCCTTCTTGTTGCTAGTTTGTAACAGCAAGTTCTCTCCCAGATCAGGACCACCACACTCGCCTTGTTAACTAGTTGCTCCTTCCCTAAGTGGGAATCCGATGATTGATCCTGTGCCATAGACCCCTTTTGATCACTTTCAGCTGCCGTATTGCCTTTCGCATCTTTTCTCTTGTAAACCTATTTGAAGTTCTTTGTAGGACCTGTCCCTACCAGACTTAGTTTCAGCCTTCAGCCTGGAAAAAATTTTTGTCACATGCACGACATTATGATTTCTTGTGCTGTGCAATCTTTTAATAGTCTCCTCATTAGCCAGTTCCTTCTCCTTTTCCTCATTCTTGTTTCTTCGACCTAAGTCTACACCCAGTTTTCCGACCATCACCTCCTCAAAGCAACAGTGGCCACCTTCACCTCCACCAGCAGCTATAGTCCCTTCTTCCTCGGTCACATTTTCCTCTTCAGTTTTATCCTCTGCACAGTAGCAATCCTTCCCATCCTCATCCTCCTTCTCCTCCAACCCCCATCAGGTTCTCCCTAGTCCCTACCCCATTCAAACCTCGCCCAAATCTCCACCTTAATCACTTCCACGTCCACTCTGACAAATCTTCCCGCTAAGCTTGCACCCTGCATCCCCATTCATTCTTCCATCTTCCCTATCTTCTGAACATCAACGTCGATCCAGCTCCTGGTCATCTTCCCTCTTATGCAACCTTCCCAAACCACCTACCTCCTGAAAGAATCACCTAAGCCTCCATCTTCCAAACATCAACGTCGATCTAGCTCCATACTCGTATAAAAATGCTGAAATAGCCTTAAAGAGTTACGTTTGCCTGAGCCAAGATGATAGGGCCTCCCTGTGATGCGAAAAGCTTCTCCCTCTTCATCATGTTCACTATAAATGTTGTGAAGTTTTGCATGTGGTTCTGAACGACAGATGACCGAATTAATAAAAACGATCAAAACCAACATTTGTTAAAGGAAAAAACACTTCTCCATTATAACAAGAAGGGATTTAGGTTCTCCACGATAAGATCTCTTCCTTGAATACATCTTACAAGAAGAGTCAACCAGCAAGCTCCCTTTAAATCTTCTTCTTTCATTCTCTCTACCCCCTTCTACAGGTTCAGGGCCACGCATAACAGGGTGGAACCCCTCTTCTAATTCTTCTTCTGTCCTTTCCAAGCTTGAAGGTTGAAGCCCCTCTTCTAATATTCCCCGATCACCATCAGGACTCATAGTTAGGAACTGGATTGTAGACACCGTCGATGTAAGAGCATCCCCCCAACTTACTTGTTTGCTTAATCTCAAAACCCTTCCCTTTATCAAACTCATAAACTAGAAAGGAGTCTGTGAACCTGCCTCCATCGTAGAGCACTTAATATCTGAGGTACATAAACTGAAAGCAATGCCATAAATGAGCTCTTTCTCTGACCCCAATAACAGAATCGAAATCTCCTCAACCTTACCCGGATGATGTGAGCCGGAAGCAACTCCTAAACCTTTGTTAGCTCCAGGGTCTTCACTTGTTTTCTCCAGGGTCAGTTTATGTCTTATGATTTCTTGGAGAGATTCTCGTCTGTTCCCAGGAGCTTCACCATTAGTGTAGGAATAATTCATGATAAAGCATTTGTAAATCACCTTTTCCAATTACCCTTGTTGTCTTCCAAGTCTTCTCAAACTTCTTTCAGCAGCTTCTGTGGATTCATTAACTTTACTTGAACTTGAACAATCGCTGTTTAAAGAAGGAAGAAGACTAGACAGTTGTAGGGTCGAGACAACCAAAGACTTATTTGGCCCGAACCCATTCAGTCCAACAGACAAACCTTATCTTTAGGACTAGCCCCACTCAGTTCATTAATTAAAATTCCTTTTCCTTTTCAGTCAAGGGACTTGGAATTTATCAAATTTACTCCACTAGTTCAGTCTACTCATCACTCTCTCACCATTCAACTTCTACCCATCTCTCTCTATCTCCCCTTACATGTGCCACCCAACCAGTGAATATAATAAGAAGAAATATGGTGAAACACAAAATTACGGGACAAAACAACCCCTACCAATACAAAGAGACACTCAGTCAAGACGTTAACACTAAAAATGAAGACCCATCTACCTTAGTATATTTACTAACCAAACATTGAATGTATAAAGTTCTGCAAAAGAAAAACTACGTACCCGGAGAGCTAATTTCCGGAGAGAAGAAGAACATATATAAGCTTTTATATGCTTGCATATTGATATATCCAATAGGTTTTTGACATCATGACTGTTGGAGAGCCACGGATGACCTAAGCACAAAAGAAAAAGCTACAAGTTTCAGGAATTTCTGAAGCTAAAGAAAGGTTTTAGAAATAAATTAATAGTGGTCATATAACTTACTGAGAGCTTGAACAGCAGTAGGTCTTTTACGGTAATCCTTATTCAACAACCTCTTGACAAAATCTTTTGCTTCAGAAGACAATGAAGGCCATGGAGCTTCTTCAAAGCTGGGCTCTGCCTTCAGGACAGATCGGAAGATCCCTGATTCTGTCCGAGCCCAAAATGGGCGGCTTCCACACAGAAGGATATAGGCAATCACACCAATACTCCACATGTCAGCCTCAGTGCCATATGCTCTATGGAGAACTTCAGGTGCTACATAATATGCACTTCCTACAATATCATTTAATCGTTCATCTGCACAGATCTTAAAGTCAGATGCTAAGTGTCTAAGCCATATATTAGCAGTTGTAAAGGAATAAATCTCATACACTACAGCTGACCTGGCTTAACATAGTCAGACAATCCAAAATCAATGGCCTTGAGCTGAGACTCCCCCTCCTTCGAACTAAAAAGGAAATTCTGAAGCAGCAAAAAAAACATATCAAAATAAAAGTTAAGAAAATAGAGGCATGCTTCAATAGTTAAGACATTTTGCAATTATTTTATAATAAATACTTGGTTGATATAGAGGCATTATAAAATTGCATAAGAATGGAAGTATGCCACACCATCACACAATTAGTGCATCAAAATTGTAATTAAAGAACCAGGACAAAGCCCATACTGGATAGATTATAGAAAATCTGCAGTAATTCGATGAATGTAGCATCCAATAAATGATCTTTGTTTGGGGGGATGGAAAATGGGTGACTTAGAACAGAAAAAAAAAAAAAAAACTACAGAGATTTACATAAAGGCACATTCACTACCAAGCTAATACAAATCATTTTTATCAACAACAATAACATGATTTTGGTTGAGTTAAATAAATGAACAACAGCACATAAGCTGACAAGCCTACATCTTGACATGCTACATGAAAAATAGAGATTAAATTAATATTGTCCCCTCCCCCTCCACCTTGGAAAGTTATCAGTTGTTATGTTGGCTGACCTCATTACCCACCTCAACAAGTCATTCAGTTAATATCATTCATTATGGGATGCTTTTCCATTATAGAACCCAAGATATGGATATCTATGAGAAGACATTTATCTGGCCTTTCCAGAAGGAAGAAGGAATTAACCACAGCTGATGGTACAATGACATAGTAAGCAATCACATAGAAAGAACAGATTGCAATCCAAGCAATCATTGATCGTATAGGCAAGAATAAAAAAGAATCTAGAGTGTTAAGAGTGTGAGGGCATTTCTGTCCTTTTGTGAATTTTTGTATTTGGGCACCTATTCAAGGGCACCTTTGTAATTTTTCTTGTGAAGAAAAAATGAAAAGTCTCTTGGTGTGAACAGTGCCACACCAAGCATTATCAACACTTCCTTCTTCTTCTTGGTATCAGAGCTACGCACGATCAAGAAAAGTCTCTTGGTGTCCATATAGTCAGCGGTATCTTCATGGGTTTTTCATGGTTGCTAATTCGCCCTGATTTTAGGGGAATTTTGGTATAAGTTTCATGGTGGTTTGAAGTTGTTTTGGATTTTTTGGATGAAAATTGGCGAAAAATCCAGATCTGGAATTTAGGGCTTGCATGCTCATATGGAGGATTGGTTGCTGCTGAAACCTCTTGTGTTTTAGTCATGGTAAACCCCTGGGACTGTAGGAAGTAGTCCTGAATTTTTTAGAGCCCTAAAACTTTTTTTGGGAATTTTTTTCTTCCCATATTTTGCCACCAGTACCTATTTTTCCTAGTTTTTTAGTTGTAACTCGTGTCTAGCCTTGTGGAAAAGGTGTTTGGGAGTTCAGCTGTTACTGGAAGACTGGTGCTGGTGAGAAATTTTTTTTTGGAGGAGCTGTGATCAATGGACTCACACAAAGACGTCCGCATACCTACCTATGTTCTCTCGGGAAGCAACAATGCCGGAGGACAGATTGCTACTGTAAAACTTGATGGCACAAATTTTCTTGAATGGTCTCAATCAGCCAAGCTTACAATCGATAGAAGAGGTAAGCTCGGATTTATTACCGGCAAGGAAGCTAAGCCGAAGCCTAAAGATCCAAACTATTACAAATGGGAGCAAGATAATCTATTGGTTATGTCATGGCTTGTATGCTCTATGCAGCCACACATCACCCGTAACTATATGTTCCTTCCAACAGCTAAAGATATTTGGGACATACTAACTGCAACTTATTCTCAAGCGAAAAACACTGCTAGAATCTATCAATTGCGAAGAGAAGCATGTAATATGCAACAGGGGGAGAAATCAGTGGCCATGTATTTCTCCTCCTTACAATCAATTTGGGAAGAAATTGATCATCTTGAGGCTTTGGAGTGGAAAGATCCTATTGATGCTGAACAATATAGGAAGTACATTGAAAAAACTCGAGTTTTCGATTTTCTTGCTGGACTAAATGCTGATTATGACTTCACCAGGCAACACATCCTTAGTGCTGATATTTTGTCACTCTCCACAGCATATTCTCTTGTACAAAATGAAGAGAGGAGGAATGCTATGATGCAAGTGTCTGTAGGTGAGCACACTACTCTTGTGTCCACAAAGCCTAAGTAGAGTTTTGGTAAACATGAAGAGGTATTTTGTAAATACTGTAAGAAGCCGAAGGATACCAAGGATAGATGTTGGAAACTAAATCCCCACCTGAAACCTGAAAAGTTTAAAACTGGAAAGAAAGTAAATGCTCATGTTGCTACTGCAAGTCATGATTCTCAGACTCACATGCCTAAGGGAAATCCTCCTTCTCCAGCATCTACTCATGACACCTCTGATGTGATGGAAAATTTGAGAGGCACCTTATTCCATCTTGAAAAGAGCGGGTTGCCTACATCTACTGGTTCAAATGCTTCTTCTAGTGCCTTTGCAAAATCAGGTACTACACTTGCATGTCATGTCCCACCCTCCAGCTCTTGGATAATTGACACAGGAGCCAGTGATCATACGACCGGTACGCCTTCCTACTTTACAACTTATAGACATTTTTCAAGGAAAGGTACGACTATCGTTGCCGATGGATCCCAGACCCCAATATCGGGTTTGGGTGAAGTTGAACTTACCAATAGCCTTTCTTTGAACTCTGTACTCCATGTTCCACAATTGCATAGAAATCTCTTATTCGTTAGTTCTCTTACAAAGTCTCATAATTGCTCCGTAACCTTCTTTCCATCTCATTGTGTCTTTCAGGACTTGAGTACGGGGAAGACAATTGGCAGTGGACATGAAGCCGATGGAGTTTATCTTCTTGATCAGTCTCCAATGTTAGGGTTGATGTGTTAGTCTGTGTCTTGTCATGACGAGAAACTAAGTCCTTGTCTAGTTCTGGTCTGCAATGTGAAGTCTGTGAACTATCAAAGCAATGTAGAACAACCTTTTTTGCAAGTAACAAAAGAAGTAATGTTGCTTTTCATTTTATACATATTGATGTTTGGGGACCATATTCTATTCCATGTATGGGTGGCTATAAATATTTCATTCTCTTTGTTGATGACTACTCATGGTATACTTGGTTGTATTTGATGAAGAGCCGAGATGAAGTTCCTTCAATTGTGAAAGGCTTCTTTAGTATGGTGGAGACACAGTTTGAGAAGAAGATTAAGGTTATTAGATCTAACAACGCCAAGGAGTACTTTGAGAAGCACTTACAAACCTTCCTTGAAGAAAAAGGAGTGATTCACAAAAGTTCTTGCCCTTGTACTCCCCAACAAAATGGGGTATCGGAGAGGAAAAATAGACATGTGATTGAAGTTGCTAGAGGCTTGTTACTCCAAATGCATTTTCCAACTCGGTTTTTGGGGGATGCTGCTCAAACAGCTGTGTATCTTATTAACAAACTTCCCTTACGGACCTTGCATCTCCAGTCTCCTCATCAGCTTCTTTTTCGTGATAAGGATACATTCCATCTTCCTCCCAAGTTTTTGGGTGTGTTTGCTTCGTCATGACATGATTCCTTCTAGGCTGAAATTTGATCGAAAGTCTGACATGAGTCTTCTTGGGATATTCTTCAATCCAAAAGGGGTATCGTTGTTATGACCCCTATTCTGGAAAAAGGTATGTGTCCAAAAATGTCACATTCTTTGAATTTACTCCCTTCTTCTCCGTCTCTCGTCCTTCTCTTCAAGGAGAGGATGTTAGTGAAGATCGGACTCCCTTTTGTATGTTGATTCCTGCAACCGATGCTGTCAATCCTTCTTCTCCTCCTCCCTATGGTCGTAGTAGTCCTTCTCTCGTGCCTCCTCCTTTGCATCTGTTATGGGCCCGAGCGTAGGATCGCGTCACGGGTCGTTCCACGGCAGGAACCTCTGATCTTCCCTTGCCTTTGGCCTTGCACACAGGCCCTATTTTGACTATCTAGTGGGTGATTTGTCCAAGAGACCACCCGAACTCTCCTCACTCTTTTCTTGACTGGAAAACTGAATGCTTTATTTCAATTCGTGGCTCCTTAAATAGGAGATTACAGAAGGACATTCATGTTGGATTCGGCCAGGCTAGGGTAATCCAACTTAAACTAAAACTCCTAATTACCTACTCCTAATGGTAACACAA